CTAATTGTGGTTGCAGGGGTCGATTCTCAGCTCCTGGCCCTGCCTCTTCACTGGCTGCTACTCAGTCACTACCAGCTCTGTGAGCTTTATCATACCTCTCTTTAAAGCTATGTATAGATCCTGCCTCCACTACATCACTTCCCAGATTATTTTACTTCCTGACAACTCTGTGACTGAAGAAATACTTCCTGACATCCCTGTGGTTCATCTGAATCTTCAACTTCCAACTGTGACCCCTTGTTGCTGTGTCCCATCTCTGGAACATCCTGTCTCTGTCCACCTTGTCTCTTCCTCTCAGTATTTTATGTCGTTAACATATCCCCATTATCTCTCCTGTCTTCCAGTGTCGTCAGGTTGATTTCCCTTAACCTCTCCTCGTAGGATATACCCCTTAGCTCCATGTATATGTGTGTACTCACCTAGTTGTGGTTGCAGGGGTCGATTCATAGCTCCTGGTCCCACCTCTTCACTGGCCACTACTGGGTCAGTCTCCCTGCACCATGAGCTTTATCATACCTCTGCTTATAGCTATGAATGGATCCTGCCTCCACTACATTGGTTCCCAAACTGTTCCACTTCCTGACTACTCTGCGACTGAAGAAACATTTCCTAACATCCCTGTGATTCATGTGTTTCTTCAATTTCCAACTGTGTCCCGTTGTTGCTGTGTCCCATCTCTGGAACATCCTGTCTTTGTCCACCTTGTCAATTCCTCTCAGTATTTTATATGTCGTTAACATGTCCCCCCTATCTCTCTTGTCCTCCAGTGTCATCAGGTCGATTTCCCTTAACCTCTCCTTATAGGACATACCCCTTAGCTCTGGGACTAGTCTTGTTGCAAACCTTTGCACTTTCTCTAGTTTCTTTACGTGCTTAGATAGATGTGGGTTCCAAACTGGTGCCGCATACTCCAATATGGGCCTATCGTACACGGTGTACAGGGTCCTGAACGATTCCTTATTAAGATGGCAGAATGCTGTTCTTAACATCCATATGCTGCAGTAGTTATTTGGTTGATGTGTGCTTCATGAGATGTGCCTGGCCCCCTAGACTGTACTCTGTCTGTGGTCTTCTTTGCCCTTCCCCAATCTTCATGATTTTGCACCTCGTGGGTTCGAATTCCAGGAGCCAATTGCTGGACCAGGTCTGCAGCCTCTCCAGATCCCTTTGTAGTTCTTCCTGGTCCTTGTCCGACTGAATTCTTCTCATCAGCTTCACATCATCTATAAACAGGGACACAAATACCAGAAACAGCACCGGTCCTAGGACTGACCCCTGTGGAACCCCACTCGTCACAGGTGCCCACTCTGACACCTCGCCGCATAACATGATATACTGCTGTCTTCCTGACAGGTATTCCCTGATCCATTGTAGTGCCTTCCCTGTTATCCCTGCCTGGTTCTCCAGTTTTTGCACTAATCTCTTGTGTGGAACTGTGTCAAACGCCTTCTTACAGTCCAAGAAAATGCAATCTACCTACCCCTCTCTTTCTTGTCTTAATGCTGTCACCCTGTCACAGAACTCCAGTAGGTTTGTGACACAGAATTTCCCATCCCTGAAACCGTGTTGGCTGTTGTTGATAAACTCATTTCTTTCTAGGTGTTCCACCACTCTTCTCCTGATAATCTTCTCCATGATTTTGCATACTATACATGTCAGTGACACTGGTCTATAGTTGAGTGCTTCTTGTCTCTTCTTTTTTAAAAGTTGGGACTGCATCTGCCGTCTTCTATACCTCAGGTAATCTCCCGTTTCGACAGATGTGTTGAATATTGTTAGGGGTACACACAGCGCCTCTGCTCCCTCTCTCAGGATCCATGGACAACCTCCACCCACCCTGCGTCACGCCCACACTTCACAACTTCCACCCACCCTGCGTCACGCCCACACTTCACAACTTCCACCCACCGTGCATCACGCCCACACTTCACAACTTCCACCCACCCTGCATCACGCCCACACTTCACAACTTCCACCCACCCTGCGTCACGCCCACACTTCACAACTTCCACCCACCGTGCATCACGCCCACACTTCACAACTTCCACCCACCGTGCATCACGCCCACACTTCACAACTTCCACCCACCCTGCATCACGCCCACACTTCACAACCTCCACCTACCCTGCATCACGCCCACACTTCACAACCTTCACCCACTCTGCCTCACGCCCACACAACTCACACTCTGCCTCACGCCCACACAACTCACACACTGCCCCACGCCCACACAACTCACACTTCCTAACACCTACACTTCACTTTTTTGGGTTACCCTAAGTAATTTACACACGTTACTATACAAAACACTCACTGTGAAAAAATAGTGAACATCCAAACGCTTTCGTGATTTCCCACATTATCAAGGACCTGTACCTTGATTATGTGAGAAATCACGACAACGCTTGGAAGTTCACTATTTTTTTTCACAGTGGGTGTTTTGCATTTTGTGATATCATCTGTTAAAAATAATTGGTTATAATTATAACAAAAGTGGTGGACCGGTAAGCTAGCGGAAGACCTCGGTCAGATGACCAAAAGCTGCAGCGGCGGGTCATCACATGACCAAGACCCGCGTCAGGAAACACTTGTCCTGTTTCTTGACAAACCTTACCTAACCTGTTTATGGTGATCTTATTGCATATGTTACTATGTATGATAATTGTGTATATGTACTTATGTGTACCTGTACCTAAATAAACGTACTCCCATCAATCCCCACACCAGAACATTAACAAGATCACATATATACTGTCACTCGCACCAACACTCCCTACAGTGTTATGATAACCTAACCCCCCCCCCCCTCATATACCAGCAGCTGTCCACCACCCCAACACACTCTCCCTCTGTCCATCCCCTGTGTCCATACCACACGCACTGCGTACATAATAATATAATATCTTTATTTACTACAAGTACATGTACAGACCATAGCTGACATCAATGACATACTACTATATAGAAAGCCGCTTGTTACGCTGAGCATTTCAGGCAAATTTGGTCAGTTTTGTCCCAGGATGCGACCCACACCAGCCGACTAACACACAGGTACCCATTTTGAACTGATGGGTGAACAGGGACAGGGACAGCAGGTGTCTTATGGAAACACGTCCCTAATGTTTCCAAGCCGCACCGGAGATTCGAACCCCGGACCTCAGTGTGTGAGCCGAGTGCGCTAGCGATCGAGCAACGGGACACCTACATCAGGGCCATACTGGAGTATGCAGCACCAGTTTGGAACCTTCACCTGGTCAAGCACATCAAGAAATTAGAGAAAGTGCAAAAGTTTGCAATAAGACTAGTCCCAGAGGTGACGGGTATATCCTACGAGGAGAGGTTAGGGATAACTGACCTGACGACACTGAGGACAGGAGAGATAGGGATGATATGATAACATAAAATACTGAGAGGAATCGACAAGGTGGACAGAGACAGGATGTTCTCAGACGAGACACAGGGATGTTAGGAAGTATTTCTTCAGTCACAGAGTTGTTAGGAAGTGAAACAATCTGGAGAGTGATGTAGTGGAGACAGGATCCATACACAGCTTTAAAAAGAGATACGATAAAGCTCATGAAGTAAGGAGAGTGGATCTAGTGGTGACCAGTGAAGAGGCGGGGCCAGGAGCTATAAATCGACCCCTGCAACCACAATTAGGTGACTACACACCACTCTCTCACTTTAGTTACTATTCTACCCCCCAAGGCGGCTGTCGTCCACACACAAGCCTCCTCCTCGCCCCGATTTCCTACCCATCCTCATTACCAAGTCAAATTCTCCATTACGTTTCAGTGTGTGTCTCTGTCTTGTGTGATCATGGTTTTACGCTGCTCAGTCGAGATATTAGCAGTGGTAGGTTGACAGAGAGTGGTATCAGGTCACTAGAGGGAGCTTCAGGTCACCAGAGAGGCAATCACGTCACTGGGGACGGCATCGACTTACTGAATTTAGGTGGCAAGAGAGAGGTGTCTGGTCATCTAGGGTTATTGGGGGGGGGGTACCCAGCCATCAATGGTAGTTTCGGGTCACTAGAGAGGCATCAGATTACCAATGGGAGCTTCAGATCACTACTAGGAGCTCTAGGTCACTAAGAGAGTCAGGTCACCACTAGGCCTTCAGGTCACCACTGAGAGCTTCAGATCACCAGGTCCAGGAGCATCAGGTCATCAATGAGAAAATATCTGACAAAGTGGAAGAAATGCCCTGACGTTGGCGAAAAGCTCTTGATCCAAGGAACTGGAGTTACCCCTCCATTTCCTGGAATCAATCAAATCGTGGGGAAGCGATAAGCCCGTAGGGGTCACAACAGCCGCTGGAGGGGTACAAAACACCACTGTCCACAGAGTGGGTACGGGGGTGGTTACTGCCCACAGGATGGGTATAGGGGTAGTTACTGCCCACAGGATGGGTATAGGGGTAGTTACTGCCCACAGGATGGGTATAGGGGTAGTTACTGCCCACAGGATGGGTATAGGGGTAGTTACTGCCCACAGGATGGGTATAGGGGTAGTTACTGCCCACAGGATGGGTATGGGGGTAGTTACTGCCCACAGGATGGGTATAGGAGTGCACAGCAACCATTTATAATTACAATATTAGTATAAAATACCGACGACTTCTGATATTAGACACATGTGAAACACCTGGGTAGCTTAGTATTAAACACATGTGAAACACCTGAATATCCTGGTATTAGACACATGCATTACATGGGTATCTTCATTTGAAGACATTTCGCCAACTAGCGGTTTTATCGATTCAATGCAGAGATCACGTCAATACTGATCTGAAAAAAAGCCACTGGTTGGCGAAACGTCGTGAGATACCCGAGTAAAACAATTTCTTTCCGCAGTACACAAAATCTAGTTTACATGTTAATATTGTTTAAGGAGACAAGAAAGCCACTAGCATGCTGTGCGCTTCGGGTATTGAATATACGTTTAACTGCTATCAAACTGAAAATTCTAGTGATGATATTACAACAAGGGCAACATTACCTGCAGGAACAGCTGTAGTGCCACTAGGAGTGCCACTGCTAGCAGGAAGAGACAATTTAACTCGAGGACGCGTCCGTATGTCTTCATGGCGGCATCGTCTTGGGATTCAGGCCAGGCAAGATGACGACTCTTGCACTAGTTCTTCCTTGAGACTCCACGCTGCTGGTTTCTTCTCCCTACTGGCCAGGAATCGAGATCTGCATTCGTTTCTTGGCACGATTTACAACTGGGTCCTGTTAGGCTTCAGACAGCTGTTGAATAAGTCAGCTGTAATGGAGACGGTTGAGATGAACAGCTGGGTGATTACATATAGACACGGAGGACCTTGGGTGTGTCTGTTATCCTTCTTCAAACTCAACACATTTGCATCTGAAAGTAAAATTTATGTCTATAAAATACACTGGTGTGGTGCTGGCAGCAGCGACCTCAATGTGTGGTGCTGGCAGCAGCGACCTCAATGTGTGGTGCTGGCAGCAGCGACCTCAATGTGTGGTGCTGGCAGCAGCGACCTCAATGTGTGGTGCTGGCAGCAGCGACCCCAATGTGTGGTGCTGGCAGCAGCGACCCCAATGTGTGATGCTGGCAGCAGTGACCCAATGTGTGGTGCTGGCAGCAGCGACCTCAATGTGTGGTGCTGGCAGCAGCGACCCCAATGTGTGGTGCTGGCAGCAGCGACCCCAATGTGTGGTGCTGGCAGCAGTGACCCCAATGTGTGGTGCTGGCAGCAGCGACCTCAATGTGTGGTGCTGGCAGCAGCGACCCCAATGTGTGGTGCTGGCAGCAGCGACCCCAATGTGTGGTGCTGGCAGCAGTGACCCCAATGTGTGGTGCTGGCAGCAGCGACCCCAATGTGTGGTGCTGGCAGCAGCGACCCCAATGTGTGGTGCTGGCAGCAGCGACCCCAATGTGTGGTGCTGGCAGCAGCGACCCCAATGTGTGGTGCTGGCAGCAGCGACCCCAATGTGTGGTGCTGGCAGCAGCGACCTCAATGTGTGGTGCTGGCAGCAGCGACCCCAATAGATATGTCATTTTGATTTTTTTTTTTTTGGTTATCCTAGGTAATCTACACACATGCTGCTATGTATGATAATTTATGTAACTATTTATGTGTACCTGTACCTGAATAAACTTACTTACCTATGTGAAACCTTCACCTGGGTGGGTTGGCCCCGTGGCCTGGCTGGCAAAGCTCTCGCTTTACACGCGGAGGGTCCGGGTTCGATTCCCAGCGGGGTGGAAACATTTCGACCCGTTTCCTTACACCTGTTGTGTAAGAATGGTATATAATACCGACAAGATGAAATTAAGACACATGTGCAACATCTGGGTATCTTTATTGTAGACGTTTCGCCATCCAGTGGCTTTATCAATACAAATTCTAGGACATAACTTGAAGACAGTAGAACTATGTACAGAAGACGAGGTAATCAGTCCCTCAACCTAGGAGTAGGTGCGACGAGCACCATAGTCGTGGAGATTCTGAAGCAGAAGAAAGGAGCCTGGCGCTTATATAGTAACGTCAGGTGTAGCAGATGAGGTCATAGTCACTGGTAGGCGGGATTCCCCAGTGGAAGTAGGTCCTTCCCAAAGAGATGGGTTAGTTGTAGTTGTCGTAGGCGTGAAGATTATGTACATGTCCTCAGAATCAAGATTCCATGATGTTGCAGTGTCTGACAAGTTGTGTAAGAATGAGGACATGTACATAATCTTCACGGCTACGACAACTACAACTAACCCATCTCTTTGGGAAGGACCTACTTCCACTGGGGAATCCCGCCTACCAGTGACTATGACCTCATCTGCTACACCTGACGTTACTATATAAGCGCCAGGCTCCTTTCTTCTGCTTCAGAATCTCCACGACTATGGTGCTCGTCGCACCTACTCCTAGGTTGAGGGACTGATTACCTCGTCTTCTGTACATAGTTCTACTGTCTTCAAGTTATGTCCTAGAATTTGTATTGATAAAGCCACTGGATGGCGAAACGTCTACAATAAAGATACCCAGATGTTGCACATGTGTCTTAATTTCACCTGTTGTCCTGTTCACCTAGCAAGCAGGTACCTGGGTGTTAGTCGACTGGTGCGGGTCGCATCCTGGGGGACAAGACTGAGGATCCCAATGGAAATAACTGAACGAAATCTTATTTCTCCAGGTTGCGGTTTAACCAGGGAATGTGAACGACAGAACCTTGTGAAACCGTGGAGTGGTAATGCCAGTAGTGAGAGGGTACTCACGCTCTCCTGTGTGAACCCTGGGTGTGGTAATACCAGCAGTGGACGAGTGATCACGACTGTTCCTCACACTGCACAACTTGCCATCTCGGCAACCAAGCAGTAATATCAGCTCTGCTTCTCCCCACGAGCCCCGTGCGGGCAAGGAGCAAGGATACTACTACTACCACTACGACAACTATTACTACCGGGTAGTAGTAGACATGTTGCATATGTGTCTAATTTTTCAACTTGTCGATACTGAATACTATTCATGTACAACTACTACTGTACCACCTTGCAAGCTCTTCCAGTAAGAATGATGGCTCTCAGAGGCAGACTTACTGACAGAACGAAGTAAACATTGGCCACTTACCCTCTGGACTGAGCATCACATTCTCAGATTTAACAACAAATGGCTCCTTCATTGTCTACTACTTCAGCAAGAGGCCAACAAGGATATAGCAACTCCCTCAGTAAAGGTGCTGCAAGAAAAAGACATAGCTTCAAAGTCAATATTCATAAAAAAAAAAAAAAAACTGGACACAGATTTCGCCAAATGAACAGCTAAGTATCTAAGAGCCAAGACTGAAACCTGAATTTAGACGAAGAAATATCGATGGCACAAGATGTATCAGGATTTCTCAACCATATCCACCCAAGGAACACTAAACTGGAGCAATTCCACCATTTTACACCATGTTAGAATGTCAAAGCTACAACCATTACTCTACCAACTTCCCCCTTAAAATACAAGAAATTCTGCACAGAATATGACAAGGGTTGAACACAACATCAGAAACTGAAGATTGAAGCTACACCAACAAGTCTTAACTGCAGAGGTGATCACTAAACCATAACATCCTAGTGCTCCATAAGAAAGGAACTAATCAACAAGTCAATAAAAAACAAAAGAAACCAAGAAACAACTAGACATTGTTAGAAACACCAGTGACAAAGCAATAACCAGACTTCAAGAAAACAGAAAATTTAACACCACCCGACCTTGCTAACATTATCCAAAGTGCCACACCAAATCAAGATATCCATCATTATCCACGCCTGCCTCTTCTGTGTAGCACAATCTGCTTAGCTTAGGTAAGATTTGTCAGGAAACAGGACAAGCGTTTCCTGAGGCTGGTCTTAGTCATATGATGACCCACAGCTGGAGTTTTTGGCCACCTGACCAAGGCCTTCCCCTAGCTTACCGGTCCACCTCCCCTTTAAAAATTTTGGTTATTATTATTATTATAATCATGTGGGAGCGCTAAACCCTTAGGATTATACAACGCATGTGGGGGGGAGGGATGGAAGGTATTCAGGCTCAATTCAGGGAACTGGAGCACAGATCCAATTCCCTAGATCAAGAGCCCCTCACCAGCGTCAAGGAACCTCCCTTGAGGAAAAAAAAAATTGGTTATGATTATAACCAATTAGTGACACAACCTAGTTACTTTACAAACAGTGAACGCAATGTTTCACTTAAATTCTCCATCTACCAAAATACCATGGGTTATGACGTCCAGGGACCCCTCAAGAAAACAAGCTACGCCCACAGTACAACACAGCCCAACTATTTCTACATAAACAATTCAATAATATTGTAACTAGAAATGGATGAATACTCCACAGCTCCTCCCATAGATACATCGTTCTACTAAACTATGTGCAACAGACGCACTAATGACCAAACACGAAATCCATAAATGAATTTGCAATGAAACCACAACACACACATATCTGAAGAATCACAATCAAAATACAGATGAACCTGCCCTTGCAACATACAGATGAGGCTGCGCTTGCATCACAAACACCAAGAATCATGTACAGAAGTTCAAGATACTGCACAACAGAACGGTGTTTGTGACACGTGGATACCGTTACTTTCCATGGACAACAGAACAAACCAAAAGACCCGTCCTGGCCGCCCCCAGACACTTCTGATCAAAGACCCGTCCTGGGTTAAGACCTGGTCCCCCCCCGGACACTTCTGATCAAAGACCCGTCCTGGGTTAAGACCTGGTCCCCCCCCGGACACTTCTGATCAAAGACCCGTCCTGGGTTATGACCCGGTACCCCTTCCCCCGCCAGACACTTCTGATCAAAGACCCGTTCTGGGTTAAGACCTGGTCCCCTCCAGACACTTCTGATCAAAGATCCGTCCTCAGTTATGACCCGGTACCCCCCCCCCCCCCGCCAGACACTTCTGATCAAAGGCCTCTCCTGGGTTAAGACCTGGTCCTTCCCTCGCCAGACACTTCTGATCAAAGACCTGTCCTGGGTTAAGACCTGGTCCCCCTCCCCCGCCAGACACTTCTGATCAAAGACCTGTCCTGGGTTAAGACCTGGTCCCCCTCCCCCGCCAGACACTTCTGATCAAAGACCTGTTCTGGGTTAAGACCTGGTCCCCCCCCAAACACTTCTGATCAAAGACCTGTGTCTTCACTTCTCCCCAGGTCAGCGCACACCCTCAACAAGGTCTTCTCAATATGGTCGTTCGTTCAGTGCACATTATATAATGGGGAAGCGCTAAGCCCGTAGCAATATACAGCGCCTGCGGGGGGGATGGAAGGTATTCAGGCTTAATTCAGGGAACGGGAGCATAGACCCAATTCCTTAGCATCAAGGAACCTCCCTTGAAGGGTCGTTCAGTGCACAACCACAGCCTTGCCGGCCACTTGTCAGCGCCTTTCCTATTACAAGGCCGCTTAGAGAGTGGTGACGTAATGACCTCCTAATGCTCCTCCTGAGGATATATACACTGAGAGGAGTATTTCTCTCTGCTTATATATGCTGCGAGTTTACTCCGTGTTTTAGAGATTCAAATATTCTTGTTTGGCGGTGAAAAAGGTTAAGCGTAGCCTTAATGACTAATATAGTTGATAGGCTTTTAATCCCATTAATTCTCCTTCTCCTCCTTCGATTATTCTCTCCCTTATAAAAAAAAGTTGTGGACATAGGATAACCAGCTTTGATGCCGGTGAAGGTTCTTGGTTTATTATCCAGATAAATGCCCATTCCACGGACTTTTAAAATCCAAAATTTTCCATAAAGTCAGCTATTAGAAAAAACATGAACAGGCTACTGTTTATGTTACGTTGTGTTTATCACTGCCACGATAATAACATTTTCAGATAAAGATAACCAAGGCT